TCTAAATTAGTCCAGAATACTTTAAGCTAATATCCCTCTGAATTTGGAGAAATTTAGAGCTTACTGGTTTGGTTTTTTAATAAAAAAAAGTGTAAAGTCAGGTGCCAAAATAATTCACATCAAAAATATATTTTTAAGGAGCAAAAGGCCTCAAGAACAAATACTTCATCACACTCAGACTGTTCTCAGTGTACATTAGCAAAAGGAACACACTTAGACAAAACCCTAAATGAAACATGCCTGGAGAGGAGATGAAGCCAGATAAAATGAGGGAATAACTAAGCCAGACCAGAGAGATTGAGAAAGGATAAAAGCGGAATGTGACCCTGCATTTTTAAACAGTGATAAGAAAAAAGCTTGATCTTACTATTGTACTATTTTTGTACAGCTCTTTTTTTTTTTTTTCAAATTAAATAACACTACCTTCAAGATCAAACACTATTTTGGCAGGTGTCTGGTTTAACAGCTGTGAGTAAATTTCAAATTTCTATGGCACTAATGTATAAATTCAAGTGTAGACTGGAACCAAGTGTCTGTCCATACTTCTGAGAGCAACACCACATTTCCATTTGGTCATCTATTCCATGAAACAATCAGCAATTCCAAGCTGATGCTGCTGTTTTCCATAACTAACACTCACACAAAAATGAACTTCAGAATAATTGACAATAGTTTTCTGAGGACCACATCTATATATACAGCGTGTAATAAGAAAACCTCCACATTAAAATTGTATAATTATTCTTTTCTTCTCACTTAAAGTAACATGATTGAGGAACTACAGTGCAGGAAAAAAAAAGCTGAATTTTTTTTTTAGCTCTGTAAACAATGTTTACACTAAAGACAAGCATATATTATAGGCACAGAAATATTGTTCCAGTACAAACCCACACGTATTTGGCCACTAAACCATTCACAAAGTTTGTGGAGCCATTATCCCGCAGAAATTAAAAGATATAGACATTACAAACAAAAGCAAGACTTGAAAAAAACATGAAACAGTTAAGTTGCTAAATCCCAGAACAACTCAGGAAAAACCTAGCTAAATTTAACACTCAGCTCCACAGACAGTAACCAGCAGTAATTTCACCTCCTGAATTTATTTGTGTGTTCAACTGTAGGATTTTGTCTAGTTTGTGCAGTAATAGAAGTCTTGCATGGAAAAAAAACCCAAACAAAAATGCAGAACCCAAAAATGAACACAGTAAGATATAACCTCTAAACAAAAAAGTACAACACTGGCTGTTTGACAAAAATTACTAAACTGGATGCAAATTATTTACACAAGTAAGGCTATGCACAATCAGGCCCATACTAATTGAGCACAATAAACATATCGACACCCATTAAAGATCTATCTGCCAGAATTTATCTTGGCTTTCTCTTCAGTTCTTATGGGTTATTCAATCACTTCCCATCACCCAGGAAAGGAAATATTGCACTATGAAGACAAGAGCTATAATTGGATATTTCTGTATTTCATTTCACATATATGACTGACTGAGAATGGATGGGGAAAATATGAACAGAGATAATAATAGTAAGTTGAAACATTTAGTAAGAAATCCACTGGCCACAGAATAACATCCCAACTCTTCCTCAGTACATAATGCTGTGTTTGCTGCAAAATCAGTTACTATAAGAGATTTTTAATGAAAACAATTATAAATTTAAAATAACCGTGTTTAAAGCATTTAACAGTCCCTAAGGTCAAGTGATTACGGCAGTTACAAGACCCAAGGGACATGTTCACACCAAAACAAAGTGAATAAATTACTTCAGCCAGTGTATGTAATCAGTAAGTGACCACAGAGGTTACTCAATGTATAAGCCCAGATGACTTCCATGCAAAACCAATAATGAAAACGTAACAGCCGAAGGGAGAAAGCATAGGAACTAGCAAAAGTTGCAGGAAGGGCTGAGAACTAGGAGGAGTGGGAAAGTGAGCGTGGAAAGCAGGTTCTGTGATTCGCCTGTGGAGAGGAGGAAGAACGATGAGTGTTAATGGAATGGACAAATGAGATGATGCTGAACACTTTCCCCAGGTGAGAGACCCAAATTGCTGCAAAGTGAAGCAAGTCTCGCAAAATATAAAACTGCAGGGCTGACAGAGGTGCTCTCAGCCCTGTGTAGCTCTGGCATATGTAATGCCCAGTGAAGTACAAGCAAAGCAGGAGTTCAGAGTTAATCATCTCTTAACTTTTCCCTTGGCTTTACTGCCGAAAAAAACATGGACTTTGTGTCTTAGTTATTCCATTACACGGTCCTAGTGGAGATGAGCCCCTGTCTTTTAACCACAGAGTAGGTAAGATAAGCTGTAGAATGAAACCCAGCTCTGATCTCACTTCTCTCCCTCATGGCACAAATGATACAGGTGCCTTGTATCCATCACAGCTTCACAACACAATTGTCAGTGGAGAAAACCACGCCCAGGAAAGACAGGAAAACACTTTTCTATAAGGACAACATCATATTTGATGGCAGTTCTCAGTATGTTGCTTTGGAATAAGGTTCCTACCAAGTATGATGAAAAAACATGCCTCCCACCATACTGCAGAAGAAAAAGGAATCCCACTTGTTCCTGCCTGCCACTGGTATGTATTTTTTCAACTACTGCATGTCATCACCTCACAGCACTGAAGGTATTAAATCCTCACAATACACACAGTAAATAGTAAAATAGTAAATGGTAAAACACAACTACCCATTTTGTAGGTAGGAGCCTGAAATAAAGTGGCAAAAGGATGTGCCTGACTTCAGTGTTTTGATTCCAGGTGAGGAAGGGACAGCACTGAAGCAAGTATTCACCAACGTGACAAGATTCCACAGGAGAATCAATCTGCTGCCTCACCTTATGCCAGAAAACTGGTATTGTCATATAGAGGAAAATGCAAGTGGGCTCTGCGCATGTAAAACAAAAGGTTTTCTCTTCACCTGAAATATGAAAGCCTGAGCCCAAAGCCAGTAGGTCCTCCCACAGTCAAAGCTTCCAGTTTCAATGAATCATGACTGCCAAAGCATGCAAAATCTGCTTCCTCACATAAATCCTATACTGACTTCTACAACAACTATACATATATGCTAAGAAAGTCCCTTGGTAAATTATTGAGGCTGGAACACAACCCATCCAAAGGGTTATAATTCTTCTGCTGCAAATGTTAAGCCAAGGACCTACGTGATTAAATAACATCACCTTGAAACACCTGTCAAACACAAGGAATTCCAAGTGGCTGCCCATACTGTAAGATTCCCCACCAAAGGGTGAAACCCCCCCAGCAGATTATTTGGTTTGGCTTTCTGCAGCACTAAGTCAGTGCTTTCAAATGCCAAGCACTTGGGCACAGGCTCTGGCTGTGTCAAAACAACATTTGTGAAATTACTCAGAGTCCAAAGAGGAATTCTGGTGGCCAGACACTGCTGTCAGCAGTGCACTCAGGGCAGACTTTGGAGATCTGTGCTCTCCAGAAGGCAATTCCTTTTCTGGAGCTGCTTGGTATGCATAACAACAGAACCCTGTTGAACAGCAGTGCTGCCCAGACCCTCCAGAAGACTGGAGCTGGGTAGGACCCCAATCCCAGGGAAGCTGTGCAGCCTCCCACTGCCTTTCCCTTGCTTACTCCTCCTCCTTCACAACACTAACACTTAGACATTATCACAAAGAACACTCAAAAACTCGGGAAGATGATTCCTACTGTCCCTTCCCTCATCCTAGGACATATCTACCTGCTTCTCCTACTGCTTCTACCTTCCCATTCGCAGAAAAAGGATAGATATCAAATCTAGCACTGCTTTCTAGAAGTAAGAACAATAAAACTTAAGTTGCAGTGATATGGCAGTATTAGGAAGCCCCAGCCCCACATCCACAGCAATAAAAGGAAGGAAAAACACTCTTTTAAAACTGGGCTGTGGAAACCAGAGGAGGTCAGGTAAAAAGAACAGTGTGGAGGAAATGCAAAGGAGGATGAAAAGACAGACAGTGGGGAAGTTCTTCTATTTCCTTTTGTAAATCCAAAAGTTCTTTACATATCTCTTGAAGGGTCAGCCAAGGAACTCTAATGGCATGAAATGATGCTATTAAAGGCCTGTGGAGATGCAGCCATCACACAGCAGGCAAGGGAGTGCAGTGATGGAGGTAAAGCCTGGTCACAAAGCTACGCTTTGAAAGATTTTTATATAATGCTGTAAATTCATTCTAATGTTTCTTGAAGATCAGCTGCTTGAGTCACCTTCAACTCTGAGTGCTTCTAGTGCAAGAGGTGGCTTGGCAGTTCACAGCCAGCTACCAGTGGCATTTATAACAGGAGCATCCTGCACAAGTTCCCCTCCCTTCATTTTGGTTTTCTGCTGTTGCAATTTAATTGCCCTCAACTCCAGCAGTATCGAGGCACTGCTGTCAAACACAGCAGAGTATGAAAGGTATTCTAGCAAAGGGAGGCTGACTGCCTGTGGTCCAACTTAAAATGCCAGTATTCCAACTCAAAGGGGCAAGCACCTGAACACCACTCCAAAAAAACTCTCCTCTTCCAAACAGTATTATTGATTCTGTCATACCATATCCTGGGAAGAAGGACTTTCATCGTTTCCAATTATGTTGTAGCTTCCAGCACTGCTTTAAGTTATGGTAAACCCAAAAATACAGGGAGCAACAGCTTTGGCTGTGGTTATAAAACCCCCCAGCATCAACTAATGGGACACTGTATGCATTCATATGAGGTGCCACCACCTCCTTGGCACGCTCGTAGGGCTACACAGTTCTTGTCGTGGGATGACAGAATCTTTTCCCCCCAAAATAATGCAAAATACAGCAAAGCATCTAAATTTGTCTTAATTAACAGAATTAGACCAAGGCTAGAAACAGCACATCACATGAGGACAAGTGAAGTAAGGGGGTGGTGGTGGGGGGGGGAGATTTTCAAGTGCTCTAATTCAATTAGGAGGCAGTGACTGACACTTGGACAGGAGAGGTTAATTGGGGTCACCAAAACGCAGTAATTCCTTACCTAACCAGTCATTAAACTTCTTAACCTCTGAGGGCAGTCCCAGCTCGGTGAAATCGCCCGTGTGGAGAAGGATGTCCCCATAAGGCATCTGGATGCCATCTGTTCTGGAGTGCGTGTCTGAGACGCAGACAAATCGCGTGTGGCCCGCTGGTTTTGGAGTGTCATATGGGATAGGGTCGACCCTAAAGCAGACACATAAAGATCTCGTAACAGTCACAAGGTTAAAACCCCTCGCATCTATTATTTCAGATATCAGCACGGATCTCTCTCTCTCTGCAAAAGTGAGAACACACACACACACACACACAGACACACACACCGATTTACACACACCGTGCTGCAGGAAAGGACTCTGCAACACAGCACTGCCAAAAGCCCAGCAGGGACCACAGTGCTTCTTAAATACTCACCTGGGAAGGAAGGAAGGAATATTAAAATATACACGAGGTATGGCCAGTTTCTGACACTAAAGTTCGTTTAAACACTGGAAAAAAAGCGGATTTAAGAGACTTTGAATTCAGATATATGTTTTCCATCATCTGCCTTATGCCATTAAATAACAGGTCTCACAGGTGGGCTGAGAACAGGCTCTCACTCGAGCTGGGCAGCTTAGCAGCTGATTTTGTTCAAGGGCATAGGCACTCCCACAGATTCCAGCACGAATATTTGTTTACACACCATCAGGTACATCCAGGAGTGCTTTGATGAAGCCTGGAAACTGCAGAACCGAGTCTAATGATAACTTCTTAAACTCACGGAAAATCCTGAGCTCATCTGCCCAGAACCTATAAAGTCAGGAACTGACGTGCTAGAGCACCAAGCAACCACAGAAAAAACATTTTTTTCTATAACCAATGATGTTAAAAATTTAATTCAGCTGGTTCTTTGCAAGCTACATTTGGTAATTTGATCTTACCAACTACACGTGAACATTGAAGTTTCGTCTTTTTTTATTTTATTTAGGCAGAACAGAAAAAAAATAACAGGCATGAGAAATGCTTTATGCATACTTGGCGGTTAGAAGTTCTAATTTGTGGCAGAATAACTTAAATACAAAAGGCAACCCACTGCCTGCTTTAGACTAGCAATTATTTCTCTGCAGAGTTACCGTAATTTGATTTGCTCAACACTTGAATAGCACAACATCTGGATTAGTGCCACAGAAAACGCCAGCCCAATTCCACAAAGCTTCAACTCATTCCAATTGATGTGCCACTTTGATCATGGTTAGAGCTTAGCTTCAACTAGAAATTTTGAGGTATTTAGGAGTTATGCCAGAATAATAGTCCACTTACATCTCAAGCTATCAGAGCAGTGAAACCAAGCTCTAAGTATTTTAAAGCATCCAAACAGTGCTGTTCTAAGACTTATTGGGACAAACTGGCACAATAGACATTAAAAAATCACTGACTGAAAGTAAAAAGAAAATTAAACAGTTTTTATTAGTTTTGCTCTCCACACTGAAAAGAAAAACGATTATCACACATCACTGTGAATCTGTTTGTCTTAAATCCCCACAGTTGTATTGAGATGTATGATCAGCAATAGAAAATAAAGCAAAAACCCTAAGAAAAATACAGACTTTTGAAGTATTATTCTAGTTTACTGAACTGTAAACTAAATTAGTATTTAGTATTTACTATACACTGAACTGTGTCAAAACTTCTACCCGTGTTTGCAACTTCAGCTCCCTACATAGGTGAGAAAAACCAAAAGTATATTCCAGTGTGCAATTCAGTTCCCTGCACTGGGGAGATTTAGAGTGGTTCCAGAAATCAAACTCCATGTGGGTACGTCCTGGTCTCTGATGGAAAAATGCCCCCATGGATGCACTTAGTAGCACAATTTTACCAAGTCAGAATTTAACTTGATTTTGTTAGAATTTATTCTAAAAAATTATATTTGTCAGAATATTAACAGCTAAAGTATTAGTGGGGGAAGGGCTATAGGGGAGATATTATTTGTTACGTTGCATTTTCCTAGGTACCATAGTTAGTATTTGTAAATAATTATATATTAATTATTCAGTAAATAATTAATTTCTAATCAATCTGTATTTACCATAAAAATACCACATCTGCTTGCTGTGGGCCACTGAATTAATCGCCAGAATTCAGGTTCTGATGAAGTTTACTTTAAAAAGAGATTCTGCTGCTGGCTGGACTGGGTGGGAAGAGGTATTTTTTCGTAGACAAGTGGCTTTTTTGGGTTTGGTATTATTGTACCTCCTATTCCACCCAAGGCATCAGGTACAATTATCTGAGCCTTGCAGCTGGTTACCATTGCAGAAACAATCAATGGATTTTAATTCTCTGCAAGGGTCTGAAATTAATAAGGTTATTATTACAGAGAAAAATTCATTACCCAATGAAATTGCCAAGGTGGGCAGAACTGTAATTATAGGCCATAGTGCTTTTGTATTTGGTGCCTTCCTTCCAAATACTGAAGTTAAGCCCCAGCTTTTTCAATCGTGTGTCACACATTAAACACGAGGGTCTCCAAATCAGCATTTCCCCACTTCCGAGTGTGTTTATTCCAGACAACACAAAAAATAAACACCAGCTTTCATCACCACCACATACCTCATTCAGAGAAACCTCTGCTGGAGCTGTGACCAGCACTGCCTGCCCCTGGGGAGTCCAATTTTGTTTGTACACAGCAGCCATGCTTTTGCTATTCTCTGCAGTTTGCTCCCGAGCCAGCCCTGTTTTGCTTGAGGCAAATCCCTATTAGAGTGTGACACCAAAATCTGGTTTCGGATTTTTCTATTCATGCAACGACTCACTCACAGAAAATTCTATAATCAAAATTCATTAAGTTCCTGACCCTTCTTTCTCTCCTTTACAAACACTATGATGTTGCCAAGTAACCTTTTTTCCTACATCTTCGCTTTCCTCTCTTATTCTGTAGCGCTTGCCTACTAAGTATTTGAGAGTGAGATACTGAAGGTTATTGTGTTCAGTCCCATCAATTTATCCTACTCAAAATAGCCCTTCAATAGAAACTTAATAAAAGTGGTGTTATTGCCAGTCCTAAAGGCTTAAGTTTTCTTTTCATTCACAGCTACAGCATGGCAAACAGTAACACCAGAGTCTTCTTTCCTGCTGCATCACGAGGGGGTTGGCCTCTGAAGGCAAAGCTTTTGGTGACAGCCTGCTCACTACCTGGGCTGTCTGATCACCTCACAAACCAGCAGCTGGGGGTTACAGCTGGCATTTCTAAAAGCTCTGTCATAGTTGTGCACCTGACCCTCACCGCGGTTCAACAGCAGATAAAACAATTATTTCAGCCCTGTCCGCCACCACTCCGCTCAATCAGAGCACATCCCTAAGAAACTCAACTTCATTCTTTGCCTTTGCTCCAAACACAGTCTATACAGCTAACTTTGACACTCTCCATCACCACCAACACTTTATTTTTTCAGTCCTCTTGGTGTGACAGACTGAAACGCTTTACAGATTATTTGATGACTGCATTTGAAAAAGCACGCTCGTGGAGACGTGTTCATACATTAGGATTAATACAGTAATCAGAAAATAGAAAACAACCTAAAATAGCCAACCATCAGAATAAATGAGGATTTTTTTTTTTTTTTAGTCTTAGTAAATTACTTTGAGCATCCAGCTTCCTTTACAAACAGCTATTAATAGATACTTATCAGTCCTAAGATATGTTACACCTTAGAAAATCGGGCACTTGGCTGTTTTTAAAAAAGTTTATGTAAGACCCAGAAAGAAATCCCATAAGGCAGTTGAGCAATGACTGCTTTCCAAGATCGTGACAGTAATGTAAGATCTGTCACATTTAATGCAGTTATGACAAGGGTTCAGGAATCAGAAGGGACAACGTAACCTTCATACACTTCTATAAGAACCTTGTTTATCAGATAAATACTTGGCTTTACTAAACTGCCCTCACCACCAGTTGTTCTCATTTGGAGCAGGAGTCCCTCGGGTACAAACCTCAAATTTGCAGTTCCTCACACGTTGCTGCAGCTGAACTAAATGACAGCATGAGCCAGGCTCTGATTTGGCTCGCTGGGATACCACTCCTCAGTACCCTCCTCCAAGCCCACAGTTATCCTGGCACTTCCACAACAGCAGGGCCATGCAGGCAAGTGCCACCCTGCCCTGCCCTGCCCTGCCAGCTGTGAGACACAAGTTTCATCACGGTTTTATGCTTTAAAAGCAGAGATGAAATAAGAAAGAACGAGCGACACACGTTATCAAGGGGGTTTTAAACAGCAAGGCAGTGGGGGCTAAGTTCAGACACTCACAGAAGAGGAACACATTGGGCCTCTCACGTGCACAGAGGCAAAGGACTTGATTTAGGATGTCATGCTACGAGGCAGACACACCTTAGCCGTGTCTTTCAGCCCAAGCTTACAGTGGTTGCTCATAACGATGTCGCATAAATCAGCAGCGTTGGAAGGCACCTCTGAGACAGAGAGGGCAGTGCAGCCCTCCTACAGACACAGCTGCAGGCACAACTACACTGGGACCCTGCCTCAAAAAAAATTAAGAAAGGACACAAGCACCATTTTTCTGAAAGAAATAAAGTCTGATTGCAAATGATAATTCTGCATGGGTGAGTGTAAATGCTGAAAATAAGGGTCTGGGGCTGCGTCAGCCGGTCCCTGGGAATGCCTGTGCTTGGAGAGCCAAGCCCAGAGCCTGTTTGCTTGCCTGCTCTCTCGGGTTTTGAGATATGCAGACTCCAAATCCCCTCTTAGAGTGTAATTCCCAAGAAACCAATTCATCCATGAAGATGGAATAAAAATCTTAAACATTAAGCCAGGAAAAATTTCCAGTACCTAACACTGATAAATCACTCCGATGAGCACAGCACCTATGCTGGATAAAACATTTACAGATGCTGAAAATCCCTCCTCCGTCCCCAGCCCCTACAATTCACATCAGCCCTGTTCCTGCTTACAATCCACCACACCTCAGGCTGGCTCTGCTGGCATTGCTTCAGGTGAACAAGTCAGCAGGCAGCACAGAAAAAACCACGTCATTTTACCCTTTCCCAGGCTCACCAGATGCATGAATAGTCCTGTGACATGCAGGCCCATGTCCCTCCTAGACTGTGTCACATCGTATGCTGGGGCTTTTCATCTCAATAATTACTCCACTGGGTATATCTGTGACTGAATTTGTGGGTTTGTTTTTTATGACATCTA